AAAAGTGTTTATGGCACATGGAAAACAAACAGCAAAATTCTGAAGTAATTCCCTCCTTACCAATCTGCCTTAAAAAGAAAGGAAATTCTGTGATATCTTACAACATGAATGAACTTTGAGGGCATAATGGTAAGTTAAACCAGTTACAGAAGACAAATACTGTGTGCTTCCATTTATATGAGGTAATTAGGGAATCAGAATCATAGAGACAAAATAGATTGGTGGTTTGCCAGATAACTGTGGTAAGGGATAACAGGAAGTTATCATAAAAAAGATGGGTGATGATGGTTGCATGGCAATATGAATTGCTACTTAAAACCACTGAGTTGCACACTTGGTTAAAGATAACTAAATTTTGCCATATGTATTTTACCACAATTAACGTGAAGAAAAGAGTTGTATTATATATGCTTTCTTTTTTTTTTTTTAATCTCATTTTACCTGTCAATTTTTTTTAATTTTTAATTTTAAAGATGTGGGGTACAATTCAGGGTTAAGTATACAAATGTTGATTATGCAGTTACCCTTGTTGATGAGGTGTACCCCTCCCCAGCAGAATCCCACTACTGCCAATCCTGCCTCACCCCTCAGCCATTTCCCACTACTGACAATTCTTTTCTTTCAGTATTACGATAATTGTTTAAGGTTCACTTATGAGTGAGAACATGTGATACTCAGTTCTTTGTTTCTGTGATAGATCACTCAGTATTATAGACTCTAAGTCCATCCAAGTTGCTGTGAAGTTCATAAGTTTGTCCTTCTTTATGGCTGCATAATATTCCATCATGTATATGTACCACATTTTTTTTGTCCAATCCTCTTTCGATGGGCAGCACAGTTGGTTTCATGTTTTTGCTATTGTGAACAATGCTGCAATGAACATTCGTGTGCAGGTATCCTTTTCCTAAGAGTGATTTGAGTTCCTCCGGGTATATTTCCAGTAGGGAGATTGTGAGTAGTATAGAAGGTCGATTTTTTAGATCTTTTAGGAATTGCCAAACTGTTTTCCACAGAGGTTATACTCATTTACACTCCCACTAACAGTGTAGAAGTGTTCCCTGTATGCTGCATCCTCTTCAGCATCTATTGTTTTTTGAATTATTGATGATGGCCATCCTGACTGGAGTTAGGTGGCATCTCAGTGTGGTTTTAATTTTCATTTCTTTGATGACTAGTGAGGCTGAGCATCTTTTCATGTATCTGTTGGCTGTTCATATGTCTTCTTTTGAGAATTGCCTATTCCTATCCTTGGCCCACTTTACAATGGCGCTGTTTGTTTCTGTGCTTTCAAAATAGCTAATGGTTCCTATTTTGTCTATATTACTTAGATTTGAGAAACTAAGCCTTTGTCTACACTATACAAAATGAAATAGAGTTTGATGGACATGCATTTAAAACAGATGGCCAAAGCAGTAAACTTTGCCATCTGAATAACATCCAATTAACTAGATATTTACTGTCTTCACTCTGTCTGGGTTTCTTAATGTGGGGAATATGAACTTGGGTACAAAAAGAAATTATACCTTTATTTTCACTAACCTCTAATGAAATGCAGTATTACTTTCAATTATGAATATAGGCAACCAGTCACAGTAGTATTAACAATTGCTACTCTGTCACCAAAGGAAATGACAGATCTTTTTATGTTACAACTGTTGCAGATATCCTAAGTTATTGTCAATCCTCATTTCTACTTCAAAATTACAATAATTACAAATTCACTTGTGTTCCTTTTGGTTTTCAATTTTAAGAAGTTTGAAAGTTCTTAAGGCAATTTGGTTTAAAAAGATAAAGTATTTTTTAGTAATGAAATTTTAATTTCTTATCATGGCCCAGTAAAATGTAGCTTTGTAACTCTTTCTCTTCATTTTAGTGATTGTAGATGTATACTTCTGCAGTGTCGGCAGCCATCTTTATTGGGAGCAATTTAGTCTAAGTCACCTAAAATTTGCAGAGATCATGCTTTTTTGCACACTAAACTTTTTAATAGTTGTTCTTAAATGTAGAAGCTAAACAACTTTAAAAGCTAGATAAAATATGGCTTCTTTTAAGAATAATTTTAAAGGGTAATTTTAATCCTTTTCTTATTTTAAAATTTCAAGTTTACTACATTTATAAGTATTTCAAGTGTCTTTATTAATAATGGTTTCTTTTCTAATTTTTTATTTGGTAGAAATAAGATTTCCCATTTTTAAAACCAACATCTTTATTACCCAGTTCTTATGTCACAAGATTTTGATGCCTTTTTACATAGTTACTGGATAATAAGATCTCTATAATTATTTCCAAACATTTGAGTAATACAACAATATTACAGCAATGATTCTTAGTCAGTTATTTACACATTTTTTTAGATCTTCAAAGAAAGGATATTTTTCTAAACAATAAGTGATGACATATATGGCCTATGGAAACTGTCAATAATAACTCAGTAATAATACAAAACACCAATAGGTCTTAATTTTGCCTCTTTTAAAGTATTTACTGTATTTTCTACCTTTTATCTCCCTTTAAGATATGTGTCCTGATTTGAAAAATTAAAAAGAAAAAAGTGTGCAATGGGGCATTGCTTATGTATTTACCAAAGGTTTATTCTGTTTTCATCAGGGTCCTCTTTAAAGGCATCAAGACCCCAATAACTTATGTGATATTAATGAATACTCTATCAGAGTCCCATGAACTGGATGTTTGTGTCCCCTCAAAATTCACAGTTGAAGATCTAATCCCCAGTGTGATGACAATTGGAAGTAGGGCCTTTGGAATATAATTCGGTCTTGAGGATGAAACCCTCATAAATGGGATTAGTGCCCAAGAAGACACACGGGAGGGATGATTTATCTCTCTTTTCACCTTGTGAGGATGTAACAAGGCACCCATCTGTAAAACTTGAAGACAAATCAGCCAGCACCTTGGAACCTCAACTGGAACTAAATTGGCTGGCACCTTGATCTTGGACTTTCTAGTCTCCAGAACTTTGAGAAATATATTTCTGTTCTCTAAGCCACTCAGTTTATGGTATTTTGTTATAGTAGCCCAAGCTAAGATAGCAGTTGATACCAGGAAGTGAGGTGCCGCTATAACCAATATATAAAAGTGTAGAAGCAGTTTGAAATTAGGTAATGAGTAGAGGCTGAAAGAGTCTTGAGGCATATACTAGAAAAAGCCAGTATTGGCATGAAGAATTTATTTCCTTTCTTTGATGAAAGAAGAGCTTCAGTGAAAGCCTCCTTTTTCTGAGAGAATACAGAATGATTCTTTATAATCATGAATAGAATATTGGTTAAAAATATGAACAGTAAAGGCTATTCTGATGAGGTCTCAGATGGAAATGAGGAGCATGTTATGGGAAACTGGAGGAAAGGTGATCTTTGTTATTACATGCTAAAGAACCTAGATGAAGTGTGTTCATGTTCTAGTGTTTTGTTGGAAGGTAAAATTTATAAACCATGAAATTTGATAATTAGCCAAAGAAATCTCCAAGCAAAGTATTGAAGGAGTGCCTTGGTTCTTCTTGACTACTTTAAAGTAAAATGTGAGAAGAAAGAAATGAACTGGAGGCAGAATCGTTAACCAAAAAGGAAGCAGAACTTAAAAGATTTGAGAAATTCTCAGTCTTTCCACATTACAAAAAATGAGAAAACATGTTTGGAGGAGAACACTAAAGGTGTGGCAGACTAACCATTCAATAAGGACATTAGTATAGGTGTGAGCCACAGAACTAATCAGCCATCCCAGTAGGAACGCTGCTAGTTTTATCTGCAGCTGATGGAGATGAGACAGAATGAAGGCAGGCTGTTGGACTTCTTGGATTTTTTTCAGAATGGAACTGTAGAGCTATTCAGCTGTGGATGTTCACTATTCTTAGAGACAAGGAAAGAATGACACTGAAGGTGATTCAGAGATCATCAGGACTGTCATCCCAGTTGTAAAAGGGGGTGGTCATCACCTTAGTTTCAATGGGCCAGACAGTTTCTGCCTGGAGCCATGGGGACCAACCTCCCCCAACAGAGTTCTGGAGGCAGTAATTCTAGCTAAGTGGCTCCTGAAGACTGAGCATGAAGCCAAAGAGGATTATTCCCAAACCTGAAGATTTCATGGAGTTTGTCTTGCTAGGTTTTGATCTTGCTGGGCACCCATCACCCCTTCCTTCTCTCCTGTTTGTCCCTTTTAGAATGGGAATGTCTATCTTATGCCTGTCCACCACTGTATTTTGAAAGCACATGATTTGTTTGATGTCATAGGTTCACAGCTGGAAAAGGAATTTTGCCTCATGATAAATTGTATCTCTAATCTCACCACTCCTGAGTTGGATAAGACTTTGAACTTTAGAGTTGATCCAGGAAGGAATTAAGACTTTTGGGTCTCTTGGGATGGGATGGATGCATTTTGCATATGAGAAGGATGTGTATTTTGTAGAGCCAGGTGAAGAATTCTATGGACTGAATCTTTGTGTTCCCCAAATTCATGAGTTATGCAGTAACCCCTAGTGTGATGGTATTTGGAGATGGGGCCTTCGGGAGGTATAATTAGGTCATGAGGGTGGAGTCCCTATGAATGGGATTAGTGCCATTATAAAAGGACTTACGAGAGTAGCAGATCCTTTCCTGATGTGAGGATACAGCAAGAAGGTGTCTATCTGCCAACTAGGAAGAGGACCCTCACCAGGATCAGCCTCCACTGGCACCTTGATCTTGGACATCCCAGCCTCCAGAACTGTGGGAAATAAGTTTCTTTTGTTTAAGCCATCCAGCTTGTGGTTTTTGTCAATAGTAGTCAGAGCTGATTAAGACATAGGGTTCCAAAAGACATTTAATTTTCTAAGTGTAACTAATGTTTAGGGTGGGTATTGAATTATTAACTCTGGGGGAAGACAATGACATCTGTGTATGAAATATGTTATTCTAGACATTTATAGAGTATATTTTCCATCACTCGCCTCTTACAGATCTGCTGCTACTTGGGAACTCTGAAGTGAAAAAGAATACATGCAATTTCGGTTGTCAAGTTTGGTTTTCCAATTTAATTGAATCTATACCAATTAATCTCCTATTTCTTATTAACCTTGCGAAAAAGAATCAGACTGCACATAATATAAGTGCAACTTATATAAATCCATGACTTTGGTGAAGCAGGGTATGCAGAGTATGTATGTCTTGAAAATACAATGTGTGAAAAGCATAGTTTGCTGTGGAATGTCTGCAGTTTGGGGAGTATGTGCAATCGTTTTATGTCATGGGTTTTTGTCAAACACTAGGTATTTTTCCACCAGAATACTTCCTGTGTTGCATTTACTGCAGCTGAATCCACGAGCCTGTCTCTTCTCATGTCACATCAGAATGCTGTACTTCACATTTTCTTCTTTTTAATGGGAAAGATTCTGAGGATATCTCTTCTTTCTGAGTAAAGATGGCTGTAGGTAAAATACATGCCTAATGTGGAAAAGGAAGGGGTAAAAGTAAATAAGCTTGATTAACCATTTCTCTAGAAAGAACCATGATTTTATACTACAGAATGCTGCCTGCGTTCCAGGAACAAGGGAGACTCAAAGAAGAAACACTTAAAGAAGTGTCCAGATTTAATGCAGAAAAAGTAAATCAAATTCTTCTATCCTACTTTTTTTTTTAATGCAAGGAATTTCTTCCTTTAGCGTGGCTCTCTCCAGCTCCTCAAAAGTTTCATATTTGTCTTTTCCTTATGTGTTGTTCTTATATCTGATATGTGTTACATTCTAGAGATAATCATTATCTTCAAGATTTGTGAAGGTTAGAGCTGGCCAAACTAAAATTTTGTAAAGGCTTTTTCCTCCAATTTCTTGCAAAACAATTAAGTTTTATTAGTCACATTTTATCAATTGTAAATTTTCTTTAGTCTTTAGCATACCACATTTACCTGCTAAGAAATGCTAGCATATAAGAACCAACAAACAGGAAACAAAATAAATATAAATGGGAAAATCAGAAATCGCCAATCCTGCTTAGTTTGACATCTAGGTTTGGTTTATAGATACCTGTGCATATAGTCAAAACTTCTATATTGCAGCTATATATTCTGCTAGCAAAAGTATTCTTGTTTATACAGTGAAATAGTGATATGTATGATTTCATGATACCCGGCAAAAAACATAACTTCCAGGTGCTTTTCTAACAAGATCTACTTAATCCTGTCAGCGATTCTTCTTTGCTCTCTCCAGTGTTTGCCAGCCTGTCTATTAAGGTAGGTGGCAGCACAGACCAAAAAGCACAGGAAGAATATAAAAACAGAACAAAAAAAGCCACTTACCTATAAAGAGCATCATGAGATATATTTTCAACACATATGGGAAATAGATAGATAAGTCAAAGGGCAGCTTGGTAGAGTAAGTTCCAAATGATTCAAAATAAGGCAGTGACTGATAGATGGCAAATGCTGTTAAAAAAGGAGGGGGACATCATAAAATTTATCTCCCTTTCTTATAAGAATATATATATATATATATATATATATATATATATATATAAGAATATATATATATATATCTCCATTATTATTGAAGGCTATTTTGAATTTGATAATGACAGTTTTGTGACAGTTGCTGAATCTTTAGCTAAAACTACAGTTTAATGTAGAAATCTGCTAAATGCTTACCTGGGCAAAGATCTTACAGTAGTATGAGTTACATATTTGTCCATCATATACTTTATCATGCCTACAGAGACTTTACAGTGTTTCTCAAAATGGCATCTCAAAATACATCTGTCCCCCTAGCCACAAATAGGGGTGATAGACAGGACCTTGGAAAATGCTGCGTATATTTTCCTCCTGAGTTTCCCAACACATTTTAACATAGTAGAGATTCTGAGAAAATCTGCAATAAAGAAACTGGTTTCACCTAACATTTCTTCAACCCAGCTGACCTTGGAATATCTTCTTCTTCCTCCCCAACCCTCAGTAGTACTTAATAAAAATGACAAGAAACTCTGAGAGAATGCCAGCCTATATTATTTTGAGGGAGGAGACTGGTGTCAGATAATAAGAGATGGAGGTTCTATGAAATTGTTTTTCGTGTATAGATTTTTTATAACAATTCATGGGATGAAATGATACTATACTAAGATTATATAAGATGTTATCAGGGTAAGCCAAGTGAGGGGTACACAAGAATGGTGCACTATTTTTGCAATTTCTGTGAAGTCTAAAATTATTTCAAAATAAAAAGTTTTTGAAAAGAGAGGAGCCCACAACTGTTAGAGCTAGACAGAGCAGGGTATGAGCAACATCGGGGCAGTATCTGCAACTGACCACCAAAATGCAGTCTAAGATCATCATGGGCTGTGCTTAAGTTCCTAGCATTTTATCAGTATAATTAGTTGATTTGGTTATGTTACTTTGGGACAGCTGAAATATATAGAAACATATAATAAAATTACAGTCACTCATATTCTACCATCCAGAGTGTTAATCATTATTGACACTTTGTCATATATGCTTCTAGACTTTTTCTGCATATACCTCACTTTGTAATTGAAAGAATATATTTATGAATCTGATAAAAGATATAGGTTGTATAACAACCATATAAGAACATGGCTTACCTAGAAAGAAAAAGGCTTAGAATTACAGAATAATAAGGCTGAAAGAGTTTCCTATACCTTTACACATTCCTTATTTTTTGGAAGGAATTAGTCTCATTTCTACCTTATTTCTTTTTATATTTCTTTTAAAATTTATTATAATTTTAATTAACAAATCATAATTGTATACATTTATGAGATACAGTGTGATGTTTTATATGTGTATATAATATGGAATGATTAAATCAAGCTACTATATCTATCACCTCACCATATTTTGTGGGAGACACTTGAAATTTACTGTCTTAGCCATTTAAATATATGCTTATCATTAACTAAAGTCACCTGGCTGTACAATCACTCTAAAAAATTTACTCCTCTCAACTTTAAAGTTACTCCTCCTGCCGGGCTCAGTGGCTCAGCCTGTAATCCCACGCTTTGGGAGGCTGAGGTGAGTGGATTGCCTGAGCCCGCGGGTTCGAGACCCGCCTGGGCAACTTGGCAAGACCTCATCTCTACAATAAATAAATAAATAAAAATTAGCTGGGCGTGGTAGCATGGGCCTGTAGTTCCAGCTACTTGGAAGGCTGAGGCGGAAGGATCGCCAGAGCCCAGCAGGTCAAGGCTGTGGTGGCTGGGAGCGGCCATTGCACTCCAGTCTGAGTGACAGAGTGAAACTCCAAATCAAAAAAAATAAAAAAATAAAAGAAAATAAAGTTACTCCTCCTTACTTTAACTTTGTACTCTTTGATCGACATCTCTTATTTCCTCTATACACCTGTATTGTACAGTCATGTGATATAACAGCAGGATGTACTTGGTAAATGATTCAATGAGGAAGGGATTTCATTCTTAAAGGCATGGTGGCTCAGGCCTGTCATCCCAGCATTTTGGGAGGCTGAGGCGAGAGAATTACCTGAGCCCAGGGGTTTGAGAACAGACTAGGCAAGTTGGTGAGACCTCGTCTCTACAATATATAAAAAAATTAGCCAGGCATGGTAGCACGCACTTGTGGTTCTGGCTACTTGGAAGGCTGAGGCAGAAAGATCGCCTGAGCCCAACAGGTCGATGCTGGGGTGGCCGTGAGCGTGCCACTGCATTCCAGCCTGGGCAACAGAGTGAGACTCTGACTCAAAAAAAAAAAAAAGAATTGACAGTCTTTTTTAAAATGGTTTTCAAGATTATTCTCTAGTTTCTCTTGGCTTAGTCTACTACAAAATAATTCTTCCTTTTGAAAACAAGACAAATTTTAAAATTCTATCTAATATGATTTACTATAAGCTAGTTCTTTTTCTGTGGTCACTGGTTGATAGAAAACTGTGGTTTTATTTTATATACTGGCTTTTAGATACTTTACGGTTATTGCCAATGTCACTATCATTTTATGTTCAGTCTTTTTCCTTGTGTTTCCCTTAGTTACCTTAACATGCTTTCTTAATTATGCTATGCTTTCAGTTTTCAAAACTTAAAAACCATGTCTTTCAGAGAACTCTTCAGCAGTCTGCCAGATTCATTGCAGAAGGAAGCATATATTCTCCAGATATCCTTAAGGTTGACATTTAAAATATGTAATTAACTGCCTACTTTACAGTGCATTCAATAATTCATTCAGTGTTTATCGAGCATGTATACTGGTGCATAAGAGAAAGAAAAGAAGCAAAGAATCCTGTATCTCCATGGAGCTTAAAGTCTAGTCAGGGAAATGGACATTAACCAAAGAATCACACAAATGCCTAATTACAACTGAGACAAGCCCTATAAAAGAGATTCATGGCTCGGTGGCTCAGCCTGTAATCCCGCGCCTTGGGAGGCTGAGGTGAGTGGATTGCCTGAGTTGCAGGTTTGAGACCCGCCTGGGCAACTTGGCGAGACCTCATCTCTACAATAAATCAAAAAATCAGCCGGGCGTGGTAGCGCATGCTTGTAATTTCGGCTACTTGGAAGGCTGAGGCGGAAAGATGGCCGGAGCCCAGCAGGTTGAGGCTGCATTGGCCAAGAGCGGCCACTGCACTCCAGTCTGGGCGACAGAGTGAGACTCCAACTCAAAAAAAAAAAAAAAAAAAAGAGAGATTCATGATGCCACACTAGGGGGAATTAACTTAGTTGAGAAAGTCAGGAATGCTTCCCTCCAAAAAGGACAATTAACCTCAAGGCTGAGAGAAGATAGAATGGATAGCAAATGGAAAAGAAAGTTAAGCCAGAGGGAATTTAATTTTTATGCATTAAAAATAACAGAAAATCATAGAAGCTCTCCATATTAATTAAGCCCCTTAGTAACGAGAAAACAAACTCAAAGAGGTTAAATGAATTACCCACAACTTATACAAGAAGTTGATAAAGTTAAGAGCCGGGCTTGGTGGCTCAGCCTGTAATCCCGCACCTTTGGGAGGCTGAGGTGAGTGGAT